TATATAAATATTCGCCGAAAAAGGCGATGTCGCCTTATATATATATATATATATATATATATATATATATATATATATATATATATATATATATATATACGGACGGTCCATGTACTGGCCAGCGATAGACCGGTATGTACCGCCCGGTACGGGCAGTATTATTCGAAACTGCATATCTTGATTGAGACCATCTTGAGTTTTTTCCCTAGTCACTTGGTATCTGCATAAAACAATTAGCTTGTTTTAGCAGAACTCTGTATTAAAACTCTTGGTCTGGGGACAACTACTTGATTGTGGTTAATATAGATACCTGAACGTCTTTCACTTTTTTAAAATGTAAATTATCAAGCTTCTGGTTCTTACCTCTTATGACTTGTCTCAACAAATCAATAAATTCTGAAGAATCTAAACATGTTGTGTTGGAAATTCTGGAAAAATTAGTATCTGTTACCTTAAATTTTTCTTTACCAGATTCATTAGTATGATGAAAAATCATGAATTACCATTGCCAGGGATGATAAACAACATTACATTGATTGAAGTGTCAAATTTTGGTTTACCGGTCTCACCAAGGACCGATACTCGACCATATAGCTCAGTACCCATCAGTGTCAATTTATTTTATTATTTTCAGTGACATCAGATGATATAGGTCAGTTTGTCTCGTATATCTGTTCCATATCAGATTATCAGTCCAACAAAATTTAGAAACTGGTATGAGATCGAGATTTTAAATCTTAAACTACATGGACTGTATTCTGGTCTCAATAGTCCACAATTTTTACATGTCAATAAAGTGTACTTGCTATATTCAGCCTCTACTTTATGTAAAATGACAAGTGGCAACTGCTTAAGAGATCACCCTCTGATAATTGATTTGCTAAGCTTGTTTTTAAGGAACCCTTGATTACCAAGGTTTGTAGATCAGGAATTCAGAATATTCATTTCTATTAAATGGGAGATGACCTGATCTTTGACAATATCATGTGATGAAGCTAATATTCTTCATTATCCAGGTTTTAGGTTTTATGGTGATCATTTGAAGGTTTGTTTATGAAGTCTGCTGCATTTCCAAGTATTATATGAATATAGATTACAAACTACATTTTTTTCTTTCAAACAGAAACTGCTAACGGCGATGGGGTTCGGGTAGCTTCATCAGCTGGGGTAACCTCTTTTGCTACTTGCCAAAGCACAGAAGGCAAAGGTGCTAATTTATGTCCAACAAACAACTGTAACAAAATGAGTTTTCCTGAAACAGAAAGAAAGTCATCTTCCTCTAATGTTTTTTGTATGTGAATATTCTTTTGGATTGTTAGTTTACAGGACCCTTCTAATGCCTTTATTGTTTTTATATGTTTTTGTGGAAACTATGATAAAAGGATGGTGTCTGAATATAAAGGAATCTAAGAATCTAAAATCTTATGCAAGTTGAAACAGAAGAGTTAAAATTTCTGGTAAGCTGTTACCATATTCCATATGCACAAATGCATGAATATATCTGTTGACATGGCACATGTGTGCAAACATGGAAGCCTTAGTAAAATTTTTATGTGCCAAAAACCATACAAAGCATCTGTTGCTTGCAATTGAGTTGCACAATAAGTTGATAACATCATTTACATTAGGTCATTGGTGCATTGTCCATTGAAAGAAAATTCCTCCTCAGTCAATCTGTTAAATCTTGACATCTATCACAGAAAATAATGTCTGGTTTGTGTTAGGTTAGCCTAGGCACATTTAACATAATAATTTGACTATTAGATGTCTTGATGCTGTAGCCTTTTAGATGGTTGATATTTTTGTTCTATACGTACTGATATTCTGTCCATTTCTGTAATTCGGGTAAAATTCAAAATCTACAAAGTTTTACCAGCTTATGTTATTGCATTTGATGCATTTAATAGTGATAGAAACATCCTTTCTCCGTCCACTTCGTTTGGGAGTAATCCTGAACCCTTTCTATTGGATCCTGCAGGTGGTAATCAGAGTTCATCCGAACCAAGTTGTGGTTCACCAACTGTAATTGGTTGCAGCAATAGTTCACTGCTAGATCCTGCTGGTCCTGCATCTGTGACAGCAAAAAATTCTGATAGCCTTAAATGCAATGTTCAAGATTCTAAAGTTAGTACGCCATCAGAAGATGAGGGAAATTTCACATTTGTAGTCCAACCAGATGCAGATGTTTCTCAAAAAGACACTAAGAAGGATTGGGAACCCATCCACCATTTGCACTCCTTCGATCAGCCTCAGGTAACCACAATTATCATTTTGTCAATATCTTATGTTAAGCTTCAGTTTCATTATACTCCTGAATATGGGTAAGACCTTCAATTTAATTGAGCATTTTGAGTGTAGATTTCTCAGGAGAATTCTCAGCAGCACTTGAATGAAACTAAAAAAGCGAGTACTAGCATCATTAGCAAGACAACTGGGGAAGACAAAAGAAAGCAAGTTTCTGCCCGTGCAACTAGAAAGGTAGGCAACTCGAAAGGAGAAACTAAAGAGAAGTTACAAGAGAAACATGGTAGAGGAAGGAAAAAGAACCCAGTTAGTACATCACCTTTCCCTGACAGTGCCACAAGAAACAAAACCCATACAGAGGGTATACAACAATCTCTCTATATTGAGACCAATAATACAAAATCATCCTGTTCTCCATGTATTCAAACATCTAATCTGCCAGATTTGAACACTTCAGTTCCTTCAGCATTGTTGCATCAGCCTTTCACAGACATGCAACAAATACAATTGCGTGCCCAGATTTTTGTATATGGGTCACTTATGTGAGTTGCAATTGCCATTTCTTTATTTGTTTCCTAATGGTTTCTCAAAAAAGAAGCTATTTAATTTTTTTTTGTATTATATGTATTAATCTGCTTGGTGCAGCCAAGGTGTCATGCCAGATGAGGCTTGTATGATTCCAGCCTTTGGAGGTTCTGGTCAGTATTTTCACGTAATTTTTTAATCTTTGTTATGCATTATTGCCTGAACTAAACTAATAAAAAATCTTTGGACACTTTCAAGAAGATGGAGGAAGGAGCTTATGGGAGCGAGCATGGCGAGCTGCTTCAGAAAGGTTTTATAACCTAAAGTCATCTCCCAGTACGTCTGACACACATTTGCATTATCATACAGGTGAATAAATTTTTATTGAACACTTTAATGATTAAATTTATTTGAGGTAACTGATACTTGTTGGGTTTTAACTACTGAACAAGGGATCAGCGGCAGCCCTCTTCAAAGCAAGGCCCTCAACTCTCCTGCTGGCTGGAGTGACGTCAAATTTCCGAATTCAGCAATACAAGGTTCCACTGTGTCATTGCAGTCGCCTTTCCAGAGTTCATCTAAGGAAGTTTTATCCTCTAGTATCTTAAGAGGCATCCACTTGGAGTCCAATCAATCACTGTCCCCATTGCATTCATATCAAACTTCCCATATCAGACAATATCTGAACAATACTACACCTTTGCTATCTCAGAGTCCTTGTCCGGGTGCATCATCTCTTTCATCTCAGAGTTTATCTTTTGATTCTAGTGCACAAAATTCTGCAAAGCCTGTTTCTGAAACAACTCAAGTAGCAACTCTTAGGGAGTCTTCTAAACCTTGTGCCTCAAACATGCAACTTGCTTCCCCTGGTGTCTCGCTGCCTAATCAGGTTGCTATCAGTGTTTCTGCTGCATTAGTTGTGCCAGTGGAGACACAAAATAGGGCTGCAACTCTGAGTACTAAGAATGCATCTGTTAGTGAGAAGTCCAGAAAGAAGAAGAAGGTTTCTGCACCAGAGGAGCTTGAGTCAAAATTTTCAATTGCTCAACCTCAAGCAGAATCTGCTTCTGCTGCTGTTATTACTAATTATATAGCCACATCTGGTTGTCTTTCTTTATCTTCTAATTTTCCAAGTAATGCTACATCTGGTGGTCTTGCTTTAAATGCATCTCACCCCGTAACTCTGCCTTACTCCCACATATTAGGCAGTGGTGACACTCAGCAGAGGGTTGTCTTGAATGAAACATGCACACAAATCGAGCACTCAAAACAGCAAGCCGAGAATGCTTCTGCTTATGCTGCTGCTGCTGTCAGGCACAGCCAAATAATTTGGGAGCAGATGGTGGTCCAAAGAAATTCAGGCTTGGTGTCAGAGGTTGAAAAGAAACTTGCCTCTGCAGCTGTTGCGGCTGCAGCAGCTGCTTCTGTTGCAAAGGCAGCTGCAGAAGTTGCTAAGGTTGCATCTGAGGCTGCATTACAGGCTAAATTCATGGGAGATGAGGCACTAAACTTTGCTAGCACAGGGAGGACCACTCAGAATTCTGAGGTCAGCCTTGAAACTGGAAAAGATTTGTTGTCATCAACTCCTGGTTCAATTTCCATGGGCAAGGACAAGATCCGTGGTCCTTTCTCAATCATTTCAACTGCCCAAAAGACCATTAGGAAAAGGGTTGAAGCATCTTCTGCTGCCATAAAGCGTGCAGAAAACTTGGATGCTATACTGAAAGCTGCAGAAATGGTTGCAGAAGCTGTATCACAAGCTGGAACGATTGTTGCCATGGGGGAGCCCTTACCATTCTCAATAAGTGAATTAGTTGAAGCAGGCCCTGAAGGTCATTGGAGACGCAATTGTGCTACTATGGGAAACATGTCAGAAGCAATTGATGTACAGGTTAGGGAGAATTGTGAATTAGATGTGGCTAGTGATCATGAGATTGTTGCACAACAATCAAATGACCAGTCATCAAACCATGATGAAAGGAGAAAAGTTTCTAATACTGATGAAATGTCGCCTGGTAACAAAAATTATGGTATGTCTGTCTTGCAATTCTTTTACAGGTTATCATTGATTTGGATAGAGTTTATGGATTTATCTGATTTTACCAATATCTTGTGTTATCTTAATTTGTCAGGAAGCAAATTAGGAAGTGGATCAAAAACTATTCTAACTGAGCGACCTACAAGGGATTCATTGCAGGGAAGTAGCATTCAGAAAGGGTCACTTGTTGAGGTACAACTCTGAGCAAGTAATTAGTCTTCTTTCAAATATTCAAGTTTTTTTTCATGTCAAACAAGTACTTCATAATCTTTGTAGTTATTTTTTTAAGAAATTTGGAAGCCAGAAATCATATGATCTCACAAGGAAAGAAAAAAAGATGTAATTACTTATATATAATTAAATGCAACTTGACAAATTGATTTATTAAATTTCAAATCTATCTTTTGTTGCTGATAGTGATGCATCATCAAACAGCTTATTATGAATTAGAAGCTTTGTTTACAATGAAAAATATTGAATAACTCTTAAGATTAACATGATAGGGCACTGTGGAAGACACAGATGGATACACTTAACTTTCTGTAGTCAGAGTTAGCCATATAAGGCGAGAATTCTTGGTAGACTGCTCTTTTTCCTGCTAAGTGGTTGTCTATTAGGTCTAACATTCCCAGTGTATCACAACCACTTGAACAAGATTGACCGAGTGTTTCTCTTGCAAAACTTGCCAGGGAAGATTACTCAAAATATCTTTTGTGTGGATTTTACTTTGATGAACCTGCTTTCAGATGAAGTGCACATTATTTAGAAAAATCACTTTACCCCAGGTTACTGGTCGTTGTTCTGTCTCCTGAATAGTCAGTTTTAAATTTTAACACTAACAAGATCTCTCAGGTTGTCGTTGATGATGGTGGTCTTAGAAGAGCTTGGTTTTCAGCATGGGTTGTTGATGTTGAAGATAGCAAAGCACAAGTGTGCTACAAGGACCTTTCCAAAAAAGGTAAAGTATGTTATTTCTATAATAAAAGCAAACTACCTACTGATACAATATTAACTTTCATAGTAACACATGTTTTATTAAGAAGCTAATCATTTATTGGATTTTAACTGTTACAATTAGGTTAACTCTGCTGCAAATAAGTTTTCATTAATTTGTTGTGAAAACACTTTCCACATTATTCAGGCCATGACAAGCTTGAGTGGATACCACTTGCATCAGAAGGTGACAAACCTCCTAGAATACGTATGGCTCATCCTATAATTGTAGCCAAATCTGAAGGAACAAGGAAGCGAGGGAGAGAGGTTTTAGGCAATTTCACTTGGGCGGTTGGAGACAGAGTTGATGCATGGATTCATGATGGGTAAGCCTGCTTTAATGTATGCTTTTGTACTATTTTTCAACAGTGATTTGTTTGTTAACGAGAGTTGTCATACCTCAAATTAAGTATTTTTTTCTCTACTTTCTCAGTTGGATGTGTAAGCCTGCTTTAATGGATATGCTCATCTTATTTCTCCCCCTGCTGCTGCAGTGGCCAAACCTGAAGAACTAGGGTTCTCTAATAAAGAGATTGTTATTTTTTTATTCTTCTATTGTAAATAATCCTTACTAGATGTGCTTCATGATTTTTTTTGGGTCTTTCATAGGTTTACCTTTTGTCACATAATCTTTTCCCACTATTCCTACTCATATTTTTGTTTGGTCTTCTGTAGGTTTACCTTGTCTCTATGCTCATCAATCTTACTAACAAATTGGAAATTATTATGACTACTTATAAATATCTGCAATTGTGACATGAGTTCTTCTATTTATACTTCTGTCTTATATAGCAGATTATGACAAATATAAACTAATTGTACTACTTAATTCCTCAGTTGGTGGGAAGGAATTGTCACCGAGAAGAGCCAAGATGATGAAACAAAATTAACTGTCCAATTTCCAGGTATGCTTTGGAAGATCATTGAATTGTTGGTTTGTTTTCATCTTTTTTCAGTTTGTGGATCCTTTTGCAAAGGTGTTAAAACCCAATTCTGTTATCATATCAGTATTAATTATGCAGAGTCATAATCTTTATTAAAATCCCAACTCAACTAGGTACCTGCCTTAAACTTTAGCTGTCAAGGAGAAATAACTTCAGATTATCAAATGGTTAAAACACCTGCTGAACTGTCTATGTGACATTGTGTTGTGTGTTCACCGGAACTTTTTTTTTGAAAGTTTTGTTGATTGTCCTTGGGCAATCTAGTATGCATGGACCTTTCATTTTGTCCAATCTGCCATCACACTCGGAATTAAATCTGTGTGACAAAGTGTTGCCCTTGTTTGCTGTGGAGGTCCATCCATGTGGGTTGTGTATTGGCACTTCAAAACTTTTCGTTGTTGCATTAGGTATATGGCGGGGCATAAACACAACAGACTAGTGGGCACAAATACATACGTTATTTTCTCTCAATCCATAGGTTTCTGAACATTTAAATAGCTTCTTGCCCAAGGTTTATTGTCAATAAAGTAATTGACTTTTGTTAAGAAGTTTTTGTTTTTAATCATCTTTTCTTATTATATAAAATGTAATTATTTGTTTTCCTTAGGTTACTGTTTGTACCATTCTTATTGTCTGCAATTAACCATTCAAATATCGATCTTTTTTGTTTACAGCTGGTGGTGATTCCTCAGCTGTTAGGGCTTGGAATTTACGACATTCACTCATCTGGAAGGATGGCCAATGGATAGAATGGTCTCGCGATAAGGACAGAGTTACTCTTGAACCCTACGAGGTATTGTCTATTGACCTTTTATTAGCAAAGCTTTTCTTTCTATTCTGTCTTTTCCACTGTTAGGCATTCTCACTCTGTTTGGTTGATCTTTTCTGCTATGGCAATTAGGGCGATACACCGAATGAGAAACGACAAAAGCTAGGCCAAGTTGATGCCAACAATAAGTCAGAAATAGCTGAGGGAGAAATGGGGACTATGTCAAGAAATGTTCATACAGATGGTTCAGGGAAGCTTGAAGAATCAAGGCAACTTGGTACATTAGGGAAGGATGTAATAATTTCTTTTGGAAATGATGTGGGTGGAGCAAATAACACCGATACACTAAAGGTACGACGAGCAGGCCTTCAGAAAATAGGATCTAAGATGGTATTTGGTGTTCCTAAACCTGGAAAGAAAAGAAAATTTATGGAAGTAAGCAAACACTATACCAAAGATAAAACCGAAAAGGCAACTGAAAAGACTGATTCTGTGAAATCTGTTAACAGTTTGTTACCACAAGCATCCCAGTCATGGAGGAATATTTCAAAAGTTGATGTTAAAGGAAAACGAGCCACCAACTTGAGTACCAGGGGCCAAAAGCCCTTGAAGTCTCAGAATGTTCAGATTAGAAGTAGTGTGGATACGGAGAAGCTACCTGTCACCACTGCATCTGTCTTAAATGGGGAAAAGGGCAGTCTCAGAACTACTTTTAGCAATGAAGAGAAAAAGATGCCAATGGAAATTGGTTCTTTTTCACAACTTGGAAGAGTAGATATGCCAGTGGTAGGGTCTTCTGTACCTTGTATTCCGTCATTTAAGATGAATTCTTCTTCTGTTGAGGCTGAGGCGGGGGAGAAAGGAAATGTTTTATCTGCTGTGGACAAGTCAAACAGTTCTGAATCTGAAGCTTATGAAAATCCTGGGAAAGGATCTGCTGATGTTATTGAGCCCCGGAGATCCAATCGCAGAATTCAGCCAACTTCAAGAGTAAGCTTTGCTGAAACTTCTCTATGCATGAAGTGCTATTTTTAGCAATCCTTATTACATTTATAAACATGGATTTTAATCAGAGTGCTACAGATCTTTAACCTTTTTTTGAGGTGTCAGCCGCATGTCAGCATATATGAATGGGCATTCAGCCATGCACTCACATATCCAGCTAATATGTTTCTGCTTGGGTTTTACGCTAGCTGAGACACTAGTATGACACTTAATGGCGTTTGTTATATACATTATGATGATTATTCCATCGCCTATTAGGAATAGTTCTCATGATATTGTAAATGGACAAAGGTAGATAGATAGGTTATCAAATAAGTTAAGCTATACACCAAAATTGCCTTTCTGTTTTGTAAATCTATATGAGACATTTTAAATTAAATATATGTCAACATGTCATAATTTATCACATTTCTTCTTTTTTGTAATGCGCCAGCTAGCTGAATCCTAGGGCTTTTTGCACCAAGAACTCTTGCAATCTTGAGCCAACCAGAAACGTTGTTTTTCTTGTTAGAATGATGTAAAAATATTGTTTTTATCTGTAACATGCTTGATTCAAGCACTGCTGTTTATTCATTAGAGCATAAGGTCAATAAGAAAATAGATGAACACTGTCATTTGTTGTTGTCACCTGGAATAGTGAAAAGCACATTTCTACCCCATTGTAAAAAAGATGCTATTTCTCTGTGAACAGTCTAGTCAATCTTGTTCATGAACCACAGTCAATTGGATGTTTTTTGTTTCTACAGTTGCTAGAGGGATTGCAAAGCTCTCTCATTATACCCAAGAGTCCCGCCGTTACATATGATAGAGGTGCCAAGACCATGCATAGAGGCGTCACAGCTTCTAGAGGTAGTAATCTTTTGTTCTTCAAATATATTTCCTTCATTTTCTTGGATTATAAACTATATGTTTTTTGTTAATCTTGATTTGCATGGTGTTACAGGGACGAGTCATGGATGATGGGAGGGGCACCGTTTTAATGTAATTGAATTAGCATAACCCATTTCCGCATGTTGGCGTTAGAATTATCTATTAGGGGTAATGTATGTATGTACACATACAACCATGGATTGGAATATAAAAAAATTGTCCGCGGACGTGTAGGAAAACATTATCCTATGGTTAGGTATAAAACGTTACCTGTTGAAAGTTAGTTTTTGTTGTTATCTTTGATCCCAAGCCACTGACTTGATTGTACTGCTCGAGATATTGCCAAACCTCTCATTGCTCTTGTAGTGACGATGATTGATGTATACAATTCACTTTAAATAGGATTCAAAATATCAAAGGTCTTTTGTTTTTTTTGCTTTTTAATTACAAAAGATAAGTGACTAAGGTGAAATTTCATTCCCTTTTGAACCTCCTTTATAGTTGTGGCTTAATGTTTTCTCGGCTTTATTTGTATATTCAACATCAGGTGAAGCTAATATGAGTTGTTTAATGGCAAAGGCATCAGGGCATCAGTGATCAATCAAATCAAACTCATGGCGGGCCGCGGCAGCTTCGGGATGCATGGCGTCGTGCGGACTTTGAGGTTGTCGGTCTTGTGAGAATTTTTTTTTTGTTTTAAATCAAATTCAGGTCCGATTGTCATGCACAGTAAAAAAAAGATTAAACCCTAACCTTACTTAACATGGAGTTAGATGAGAAAACGAAAAATCAGGACCGTCATGCACAGTAAAAAAAGATTTTGATAATTAATTAATCAATATCAGGTCTGATTGTCATGATTTTATAATATATCGATCTAGAAACCATAATTCTGAATTGATCTATATATCTCTTTGAGAATTTTTTATTCTACTTCATATTTTTTTTAATTTTCTTTAAACTCATGTGAGTGTATGTTTTCATATAGTATTTGATGTCCTTCGATCTTCTTAGAGACAACTTTATAATCTCATTGTTATGTAGTTAGTAAAAGAATTGATTTAGTTTATCCATTATTTATTTTCTTCATGATGAAAGGTTTTTTTTAATGTAAAACTTGTTTTATGATTTATTTATTACTTTATCACTTATTTGATTGACCTATACACGATTAATTTATCTATAATATCATATTTGATGTTAAAATTATATAATATTTGATTCACATAAAGAGAAAAAAAAACTCTAAAATTTTAAAGTAAGAAACAATTAGAACTTTATTTATTTATTTTGGACAAACTCTATAACTTTTTCTTGAATTATTAAATCTTATAAAACTAACTTTTGATGACTATATTTTAGGAGTGTTTAAATCCTAAATCGAACCTAAACCAAATGGGTTCTTAATTAGTTTATCAATAATTTATTTTTGAAGACTATAAATAATTCGAGGGTACTCTTATTTCAATTTAGTTAATAGGTTGGAAGTTAAGGTAAATTAAATTCTTAAAGAGGAAGAGGAAGATGACGAGGACAAAGAGGAAGAGGAGGCAGAAATTAGACCAATCAAGAATCTCCAAATAATAAAGATGGTAGAGAAAATTCTAACTAAAAAGGTCGAGGTTATGGCCAAGGACGTGGACGTGACAGAAATTATAAAAGGTCTGAAATACAATGTTATATTTACAAAAAATATGGACATTACTCTTATGAATGTTATTATAATCCTAACAATCAAGGTGATAAGATAAATTTTGTTGAGGAAGAAAAGAATAAAAATCATGTTTTGTTAATGAGTTATGATAATTTGAAAGATGATCAGTCTATGACCTGGTATCTAGATACAGGAGCCTCAAACCACATGTGTGGCATCAAAGAGTTATTTTCAAAAATGAATATAAGTTATTCCGGGAATATACATTTGGTGATTTGTCTCAGAGACTAATAAGAGGCAAAGGTAAAATTCTCCTTGAACTTAATAATGGCAAAGAATTATACATTTCATATGTTTATTATGTTTGTGATATGAAAAATAATATTCTAAGCTTGGGACAATTACTTAAAAAATATTATGATATTAAGACAAAAGATATGACTCTCTCAATTCGTGACAAGAATAAAACATTGATATCACATGTGAAAATGGCAAAGAATAGAATGTTTCCTCTGCATTTAAGTATTTTTGATCAATCAAATTATTTTAAAGCTGGTAATGAGGATATTTTCACACTTTAACATCTTATATTTGCTCATTTAAATTTTAAGGCTTTAAAACTTCTAGAGAAGTATAATATGGTGACAGGAATGTCAAAAATTGATCGCCCATCATACTTATGTGAAGTATGTGTCATGGGTAAGCAAAAAAGAAAGCATTTCAAAGTAAGAAGAACAAAAAGAGCATGACATCGACTTGATTTGGTGCACTCAGATGTTTGTGGCCCTATCAATCCAGTATCACTTGGAGGAAACAAGTATTTTCTGACCTTCACTAATGATCATAGTGGCAAAACTTGGGTTTACGTGTTAAAAGAAAAGAAGAAGTTTTCAGTAAATTCAAAGTTGTTGTAAAATTAAATATTTAAGAACAGATAAGAGTGGTGAATATATATTAAATGAATTTGAAAGTTTTTGTTAGAATTCTACATCAATTCACCATGCCATACACACCTCAACAAAATGGTGTCTCAGAAAGAAAAAATAGGACTATCCTTAATATGGTCTAATGCATGTTAAAGGAAAAAAAATTCCTAAAGAATTTTGGGGAGATGCTATTGCTTGTGCAATTTATTTGCTTAATAGGTTTCCGACAAAGCGAATTAGTAATATTACGCTAGAAGAAGCATAGAGCTTACAAAAACTAAGAGTTGATCATTTGAAGATTTTTGGAAGTGTTACATTTGCCAAGATACTAGAAGAAAAGAGAATAAAATTGGAGGATAAAAGTTAGAAATATATTTTGCTAGGTTATCCAGAGAATTCCAGTGGTTACAAACTCTACAATCCTATCACAAATAAAGTTGTGATGTCAAGAGATGTTGAGTTTGATGAACAATATATTTGGAACTGGAAAAGTGATGAGCAGCATAAGAAAGCTTTAGCTTCAGAAGAAGATTTAATACAAGCAAATACCGAAGTGGATTTGCCGGAATCATCACCTAGATCAGTTAGGTCACATGATTCAAGAAGTCCAATTATAAGAAGGATAAGACCGATTCATGAGCTATATGATGTGACTCGAATGATTGATACTAATAATGATGAACTTTTTTTATTTTATCTTTTTACAGGATATGATCCATTAACCTTCGAAGAAGCTTATAGAAATGAAAAATAGCGACAAGCTATGAATGAAGATATTTATGCCATTAACAAAAATAATACATTGGAGCTTACTACACTTCTAGAAGATTACCAAGTTATCGGTGTTAAGTGGGTCTTCAAAACAAAAAAAAATACAAAAGGAGAGGTGGAGAAATACAAGGTCATATTGGTTGCAAAGGGATACAAACAATAATATGTGATTGACTATGAAGAAGTATTTGCACCAGTTGCTCGATTATAGATAGTAAGATTACTTATTTCTCTAGCAGCTCAAATGAAATGGAAAATTTTATAAATGGATAGTCATTCAATATTTCTTAATGGAGTTCTTGAAGAAGAAAGTATGTATTCAACAACTTCAAAAGAAACTTGGCATGCTAGATGGAACAAGTTTAAGAGGGGATAATGTTGGAATTAAACTTGTTCAAGTGTCATAAAGAGATTCATTTCATCAAAAGAAAGGTTCATTACATCAAGAGGGAGATTCATTACATCAAGAAGAAAAAATAGATTAAAAGTCTATGGATGGATAAGTCAAATGGATTATTGGTTCTTAAAAATGTTTCTTGAAAGAGAATGATTCATCTTGAATATAATTAATGTAATGTATCTTTGGGGACTATATAAACCCCATATATTGGGTCATGAAATAGATAGAGTTTTTGAAATTGTAAAGAGTTTTCTTAAGAGAAATATAGAAGATTGAAGCTTGTCTACTCTTCTTATGTTTGATAACTCTATCCCTTCTTCTTATTAAGATCAACATTTCTTTGAGGGACTAAGAGAAGATGAGCTCGTGTTTCTTCCGACAAACAACTGAAGGAGCAGGAGAAGATGAGTGGGCAATGCTAGCTTTAGACACAAAGTGAAGAGAGCTGCCTTCAACAGAAACAATTTCCCTAAACATCTACAATGCCTCACGCTGCGCGATGCCGTTAATTTGAAGTAGCTGGGCCCAACGGCTAAAGGTGGAAGGCTATCGGGCAACACCTCTCTCATGGGGTTATTGTTAGAAGAGGATAGAAGATAGGAATTACTAAAGAAGCTTTCTTCTCATTGAGATGTTCTTCCTATTTATACAGGTTATGAGGGAGGATTTCCCCCAACAGAGTAGAGAGATTTCCTCATATAGTTAGAGAAATCTTATTTGCTATTATGCCCCCACAAGATGGTCCTCCTATCAAAGATATCAATCTTGGACCGATGCAATGCAAAAAGTTTACGAGCGAGAGGCTTTGTGAGTGAGTCAGCTAATTGATCAGTTGTATGTACATGAGAAACACATAGTTGACGGCGGACAACTTGATCTCGCACAAAGTGAAAGTCGATAGCAATATGTTTCATGCTGGAGTGGAACACTGGATTAGCACATAGATAGGTAGCTCCGACATTATCATAATATATTGTAGGAGTGGAATTGATGTTGAGTTCTTTGAGTAGATTTGTAGTGGTAGTGGCGATGATACGGTATTCAGTTTTAGTAGTAGACCATGCGACTATCTTTTGCTTCTTAGAACTTCAACTGATTGGATTAGCCCCGGGGAAGATAATATACCATGATGTGGATGTTCTATCATCAAAGTTGCCTACCCAATCAGCATCAGAAAAGACATGAAGATGAAGTGGAGAGTATTTACGAAGAAAGAGATCATGATTGAGGGTCCCCTTAAGATATTATAGGATTCATTTGACCATAGACCAATGCATAGTAGATGACGTATGCATAAACTGTGATAATTTGTTGACTGCAAAGGATATGTTTGGACGGGTGAGAGCTAAGTACTGTAAAGAGCCAACTACTTGTCGGTATTGAGTGGGTTTCATAGCAAGACTTCCATCAGATAATTTAAGAGATCCACTAGTAGAAGTGGAGTTGTAACCACATTTGCGTCTTGCATGTTTGTCTTTGATAATAAATCTTAAATGAACTTTTGTTATGATAGAAAGAGACCTGAAGATGTGTATGTTGCTTCGATGCCCAGAAAGTAGTTCAAGGTTCTGAGATCTTTAAGCGAGAATTGATCTGCCAATTGTTTGACGAATGCTTGGATTTATATGAGATTGTTGCTTATGACAATAATATCA